CAAACAAGCCCAAAAGATCTATTTCAAAAATATATTTATCGTTCATTTTTTCAGAGATAAATGTAATAAAATGAAAAGGTTATGATTATTAAATTAAACTAATTTTTTTTTATAAATATTATACATTATAAATCTTATAAAATAAACAATCTACATTATCAAAACTAAGCTTGTGACAGGTTCAATAAACCCCTCGAAGTCTAAGCCTAACTCTTTTTAGATGGTCGTATATTCAAGTTGTTCTATTTGACCCAAATTAAAAATAACAAATAATAATTTAAGACCCTTGAATCTTGATCATGACACATGAGGCTCAAATAAAAAAATTCCATATAATGGGCATTGTTTCTAGTTATTCTATTGTGACACATGCGTCCATTAGCTTAGGGTTTGTTTGACTTCAATTTTCTAACTAAAAAAATATAATAGACAAAATAAATTAATAAAATAAAATGTCATATTCAAATTATAATTATTTTATTTTTTCTCTTAAAAAAATAAAAATAAATAAAAAAAACGAAACCAAACAAACTTTTAATCCTAAACTAAGGTCATGTTTGTTTGGGTAGACATGAGCTTGAGATTGGACTAATAGTCCAATAAAATTATTAATCCGATATTTGGTTAAACAATTGAAGTACGAACTAATTATTTTAAACTTGACTATTAGTTAAGATAGGATACATAATCCAACGGATTCGTAATCCTAGGACTATTAGTCATGGGAATACTAATTCAGTCCGCCCAAACAAACATGGCCTAAATAGTTAAAATGTCAAAAAATCAATTATAAAAAACCTATTGCCAAATGGCTAGTTTATTCACATTTGAATTTCCAAAATCAATATTTAAAAAAAATTAAAATAAAAAAGAGGAAGGTTTAAAAATACCATTTTAGCCATTCAAATGTCAAATCTTAAATATTTCCCAATTACAATAATTTTAATCTAACGTTAAAATGTCAAATTTTAATCTAACCACCATTTTCTACTTCTAACTACTATCCTTTCCCCGATCTTATAAAAAAAAAAGTCATTGAGCCTGTGTAGTTCAATTTTTTACAAGCTAAAAATTAATAATTGAAAACTAAAATTAAAAATATTATTCCTCCAGCCATCAAACAATCTCATTATTTTAAACTATAAATGCTTAATAAATTGTAAATAAAAATTACATTAAATAGTCTAAAATAAACATTTAAATTTTTAAAAATTATAAATAACTTGTATAAACTACACTAAATAGTCAAATATTTGACTTTAACGGTTTAGAGCTCATAAAAATGAGATTAACAACCCAACCTCGTTTTTTTAAGTTATTCTTGACAAACTTTTGAAAACGTAGAAGAATGGTTTACATTTTTATTGAATAAAGATCTTCCATTTCCTTCTTTTCTATTGTTACTTTGAAGTTTGAATGGAGTAGTGGTTATCATTACAAATGGATTTAAGAAAGGGATGGGAGTGTCTCCAGTCCGGCATCATATTGGAGATTTCAGTTCAATTTATTGGGTTGGTTTTTTTGTTATATTTTGATAATATAAATCGTTCATTTTTAAAAATTTATTGAGTATATTATCCCAACAAAAAAATCAAGTCGATTGCATAGCAGAAAACTCGTGTTCGGATCAATTTTGTATAAATCATTTATAATCTCATTGTTTATTTTTTATACAAAATTGATCCGAACGCGATGTTGCTGTTATCCGATCGACTTAATTTTTTACAAAAAATAATGTGCTCGACGAATTCTAAAATGTGAACAATTTAAATTATCAAAACAAAACCCAAAAATAAACTCATTGAATCAAATAACACCTCTTCAATTCGATAAAGGACTACCGTCGCTTTAAGAATTGTGCTTACCTAATGTGCCATTATGAAGTTTAATGACACGATACAATCTATAGACACTATTTGGTAGAGTTGTGGGAAAGTGTTTATAGCTTATGTCTTAACAATTTATAACTTATAACTATGAAAATAAGCTGATTTCTGACTTATAAATTAAGCATCTCCTGCCCCACTCAAAGAATAAGTTGATTTCTGACTTACAAAAAATTATAAGCTGCATTGTTAAGCTAAACCAAACACATCAAAATAATTTAAATTAAACTGAAAACTGAAATAAGCAGCTTTTAAGCTACACTAAACAGGCACATAGTAGGACCCTTCTTTCTTCTTTAAAATTTTTTGTTTTAAAGAATGGATTATCTCATTTACATTGGACCAGAGAGGTGTTGTTGGAGTCAATAAAACTTATCATGAGTCTTATTCTAATTATTTAAATTGTCAATTTTATAAGATCTAATTTTATAAGATTTTTTGTATAGTTTGATCTGATATTTATAATCATATAAAATTATCATATTTGTTTAAAATAATGAAAGGTCTACTTTTAAAATTATATTTGTCATCTATTTTTTGAAAATAAAAATAATAAAATCATTTAATTATGAAAATTAAATCAATTTGATTTTTGTTTTCAATCAATGACTTATACACAAAATCTTATAAAATAAAAAATTTAAATTATTGGAGTGAGACCAATAATAGGCCTCGCGACCCTAACAACATCTCTCAGTCCCTTACTGCAAAAGAGGTAATTAGTTAAAAAAATTCAATAAAAATAAATGAAAACTCATTTAAGAACATTTTTTTGAAATCAAACCAAACATAATCATATTTCTTTAGGTTTTGGGATGCTACAGCCTTAACTTCTCTTGTTATTAGAAGTATAAGAAAAACTTGATCAATTAAAATTTCAATTTCGATCAACGGTGGATCCAAACACAGGTTGATAGAGGTGTGGTGAAACGAGTTAGAATGGGTGGTGGTGAATGAGAGAAGAGAAGAGAGAGAAGAGGCAAAATGGAATAAAAAATATAAATGATACTTGTAATTATTTTTCAACTAGTGTAATTATACTTTATGATTTTGCAATATTTTTCCTAAAACTCATTTTTCTATATTTTTCCAATAGAATCATAAAATAAAATAAAAAATAGACCATTCCAAGCTCTTCCGTGTCAAAACATAACTCTTTTATTTTGTTTTTTCATGTATTATTCCAAAGTCAACAATATCTTATAAACTATGATAAAAGTCAAGCTGTGGTTGGGTAAGACGATACCACAGGTCTTGCTTTGATTCATCATTGGCCGCTTGCACATGTAACATTAGTGGTGTGTGATGCGGTGCAACTTTGGGCGGTTTGAGAGTGTAATTATAAATTAAATAGGTTGATAAATAATTAAATTGTGATTTAGAAGGTTTAACCAGTTTTATTTTAGGGTCTGACTTCTCTTCAGTCTCGGATCGGATTGGAGTGTGTTGTTGAGTCCGTGAGGGCTCACCACGGTCTCATTTCGATAATTCGAACCGTTAATGTGTAAAACTCGTCAAGTACTATATGTCTGTAAAAAAATTACGTTGATCGGATATTGATAGTTATCTCATCAGATTAGTTTTTTGTCAACCGTTTATTTTTTCACCGTCCATTTATTTTATACAAAACTGATTTAATCACGTAACTATTGATATTCGATCAATGCGATTTTTTATAAACATATAGTACTCGATGAGTTCTATACTGAACGGTTTAGATTATCGAAACGGGACACTTGGTAGCCCCCATGGGTCTAACAACACCCTCCAATCTCAATGGAAGCCAATGCCTTATTTTATTAGTTAATATTAAATAATTATTAAGTATTTATATAATATATAACATTAATTTGTATAATATTTTATATATATATATATAATACTAATTTGTAAAAAAGGGTTGTTTGGGATACTTTTTTACTTTTCGGGCTAAAAAGTTGAGGAAAAAAATATTGTTGTTTGGGTTAACTTTTTGACTTTTTATAGAAAAATATGTATTAAAAAATTGTTTAAATTAGTGTGTAAGGAAAAATTGGGATTGGGAGTTGTGCAGTCGTAATTTTTTACTTTTGGTAAATAATGATAACTTTTTAACTTTTTGAGTAGTTTTTTAACTTTTTTAACTTTTTGACCACATGCCAAACTTGACTTAAATTTTACATTTTGACTTTTTTGCAAACTAATTTATTTTGATATTTTATTAGAGAAAAAAATAGATTTATTATAGAAGGACAGGACAATTTCGAAGGTAAATTATAAAACTAACCGTAGATCAAATTAACTTGTAGGAATTGGAAAATTTCAACGAATTAAACATATTTTAAACCGCGCTATTATGCCTCAGCATATTGGTTGGGTTGATTTTTTTTAATTAAAATAATCATAAAAAGATAAAATAAATTAAAAAGGCAATAAAATTAAATATCACAACTAAATTATAATTATTTCAATTTTTTATTTCATAAAAATAAAAAACTCAATCCAAATTAAAATAATAAAAAACAAAACAAAACAAAAAAATTGAAAAGGCAACTCACTTTCCATACGAAGCCATTTGTAAGAGAGTGTCTGTTTAGCAGGAATTATTTACAGCTTATTTCAGCTTTCAGTTTAATTTAAGCTATTTTGATATGTTTGGTTTAACTTATAGCTTATAGTTTTGTAGAAGTCAGAAATCAACTTATTCTTTGAGTGGGACAGGAGATACTTTAAGAATAAGTTGAAAATCAGCTTAAGCTGAAAGTTATAAGCTATAACTTATTTAGACATAAGGTATAAATATTTTCTCGCAACTCTACCAAACGGGCTAGAGTCCCCTGTGCTCTGCACCACATACAACCTCTACCAAACAGGAGTCCCCTGTGCTCTGCACCACATACAACCTCCAATGGAGTCAACAGTCAAGCCTCTGATCAAGCATAGCTTTTAAAACAAACAAAAAAAAGTCAATACGAACCTACGATGAGAGAGAGACCATTACACAAATTGCAAAGAAAAGTTTTTTTCTTTCTTTATCTTTCTTTATTAGAGTTAATTTTCCAACCCCACGAAACTTCACATTCACTTTCTTTCCAACATTTCAAATGGTAGGGTACATTCATTTGTCCCCCCCCCCTCTCTCTCTCTCTCTCTCTCTCCCTCTCTAAAACCCATAAATTTTTCTCACTTTCTATCTCCCCCCTCTTTCTTGGACTATTTCTCATCCAAGAAACACGCGTGAACCCTTGAAAGTTTTCTTCTTTTTGGCTCAAACCCAAATTATACACTTCCATATCTATCACAGTTGAGGATGTTTCATTCATCGATTCAAAAAAATTCAGCAAAATCCGAGGTTCTAAGTGAGCACTTTGTCTGTCCATATCTTTTTTTGTTAATCAAATTGTTTCTTTTGATTCATCACTGTTCTTTCAATTTTGTGATCCGATTTGATCTGATTTTCCAATTTTGTTTATTCAACCAGATCTGATTCTTTGTTGTTTATTAAGAAACTGTTCTATTTAATTTTTTGTTCACTGTATTTTTCTCCTTTTGGGGGTTTGATGAGAAAAAGTAGAGTTTTTGGTTGATCAATTAGAATCATCGGTTTGTTTCTTACTCTAATATTGTAATTGGGTTATTTGGTTTTGATGAGATCATGTTTGTGCTAGTATTTGACTGAATTGAGATTGGGTTCTAGTTCTAGTTCTAGTTCTAGTTTCACATCTTTATTAGTATGGACTAATCAGTACATGCCAAACAACATGAGAGGGTCTTAGAGGAAGAAGCAGTGGGGATTCTGTAAAATTTTGTTTGAATTTGCTGGGTTTTCTGGGCTGGAGAAACTTTTCCTGTCAAGTTTAATTCACCTGTTGTCTTGTATCTCTCAATCTTCTTGTTCTAGGCAGTAATTTAGATTGGGGGGTGTGAATTAATTTGTGCCTCCGATTCCCCTTTCGAATTGGGTTTGCTCAAAACCGTCTATTTCTTGTTAATCCCAGTCAGTGTCCAAATTTCGATTGGATAAGTCCTCAATCTGAAAATTGTCTGTTGAACTCCTTTAGTAAAGTGGTTTGGGTTGGACTCAACATAAGTGGGTGTTGCGTCTTGTATTGTGATTTTGTGGGGTTTCTCAAAAGTTTAGGTAGGTATAGATTTTTCCTCTCCTAATATTTCTCTCTGATGGCGGATTTTGCATCTCCAATCGCAACCTATGATTGCGAACAACATGTGTTTGCCGCGGCTCAACATATTGTGAAGGCACTGGGGGCGAGTAAGAACCTAAATGACGATGTGAGAAGACTCCTCGCAGATCTTGACACCCACTTGTCCACGATGACCATAATTACTGAGACTGAATCTCGGGGAACTAGAGAGTTGGAAGAGCAATTGAAATTTGCTCAGCAAAAGATCATGAGCTTGGAGTCAAATCGAGCAATGATTTGGGCTTCGGGCCATGAGGTAGCTTCAGAGTATCTACAAGCAGTTTATGAAATTCACAGGTTATCCGAAAGTTTAAGAAGTCTGCTTTCAAACAGGAGTGGGAAACAGAAGGAACTACTTGAGCAAGCCCATATTGTTTTGCAGATAGCAATGGAGAGGCTTGAGGAAGAGCTAATCCTCATTCTTGCTCAGAATAAGCAGTCTTTTGAGCCCGAAAACATGTCATTTCGTTCGTGTGAGGATGATGTTGTGTATGAAGAATCGATAGCTTCAAACGAGGATGATTTGATTGAGGACACACCTCAGAGAGATAGCAGCAGCACTGAACCTGAGGAACGTATCATTGATTTGGTCCATCCTGAAGTAATTTCTTATATCAAATCCATTGCAGATGTAATGTTTGCTTCGCGCTATGATCAGGAATTTTGCCATGCTTTCATTAACTTCTGGAAAGACGAGTTGGATGAGTATTTTGCTGTTCTTCGTTGCGACAAACTAAGCATCGAGGATTTGCTGAAGATGGAGTGGAGATGCTTGAACCGGAAGATCAAGAAATGGATCCGGGCAATGAAATTCATCATTCGAGTTTGTCTAGCTAGTGAGAAACGGCTCTTTGGCCAAGTCTTGGGAGAATTCGGATCTGTCTGTTCAACTTGTTTTGTTGAAGCCACAAAGGGTGCAATGTTGTGCCTCTTGAATTTTGGTGAAGCCATGGCCATTAGTCCCCTTCGACCTGAAAAGTTGTTAAGCTTACTCGACATGTACGAGGTTCTTGCTGATCTTCTCCCCGATATTGATTCTTTGTTCTCAGAAGATGTTGGTTCTTTTGTTAGGACTGAGTTTCACGAGCTTCTGATGAGATTAGGTGGTACTGCAAGGGCAACATTCATGGAATTTGGGAATGCAGTTGCTTCAAACACATCAACAAACCCTTTTCCTGGAGGTGGGATTCACCATCTCACCAAGTATGTCATGAACTACATCCACCCAATTTTTGAGTATGCCAGTACCCTAAATTTGCTTCTTGGGGTGCAAGTTGGGGAGGAGATGGTGGAGCCAATTGGTACAGTGGATTGGCAAAACATTTCTTTGAAGAGTTCTTGCCCTGTGGCTCGCCATCTACGATGGTTGACATCGAATCTGGAATCAAGCCTCGACAACAAATCAAGATTGTACAAAGATGGTTCATTGAAACACATTTTTATGATGAACAACATTCATTACATGGTCCGAAAAGTTCAGGGCTCAGAACTTGCAATATTTTTTGGGGATGAGTGGATCCGGGATTATACTGGGAAATTTCAGCAACATGCAACAAGTTATGAGAGAGTCACCTGGAATCCAGTTCTGTGTCTGCTGAGGGATGATGGAAATTTGGGGAAGTCGATCCTTAGGGAGCGGTACAGAGGTTTTCAAGCTGCTTTCGAGGAGGTATACAGGAATCAGGCAGGGTGGTTCATTCCTGATCTTGAGCTCAGGAAAGATTTACGAATTTCGACTTCACAGAAAGTAATCCCTGCCTACCGGGCCTTCTCCGCTAAAAGCTTCCCTGTCATTGGCGACAAGTACATTAAGTACAGTGCAGATGATCTGGAGGATCATATCTTGAATCTCTTTGAAGGTTCATCAATATCATTGCACAGTACCCGAAAGAGATGACTTTGAAAGCTATCCTACCAAGTTGTAGAATTCTTCCTCGCTTCATACTTTTCCTGGCTAAATTCTTTCGTAAGTGTAATTTATCATTGACAGATGTAAAAGGGTAGTTCGAGTACACGAGACTCTCACCACTGCAGCATCTGGGCAGAGTTAGAGAGACTATTTCCGTAGTTTGAACCCTTGACGCACAAGTCGCAATGTAGCAACCTTATCATTGGCAGATGTAAAAAGGCAGTCTCAGTGCACAAGGTCTCCCGCTACTGCGAGATTTGGGGAGGATCGAATGTGTGCAGTCTTACTCAAGCATGCAAAGGGACTGTTTTCATAGTTTGAATACTTGATGCCCAGGTCACAGTAGAATAACCTTGTTATTGAAAGGTGTGTTTGTAAAATATCATATTACTGTAATTATGGGCAAAAATATTCAAGGATTGAAGTGTCGATTCAGATTATGGGTTTTGTTACTGTTTTCTTTTCATTTTGCATATGAAATGTATCGAATTCTTGATCCAATTTTCATCACATTTTATGATTTACTGGTTTATGGAAAATATAGAAACAGGAAAAGTTGTGGCAAATTCTTGATATCACCTTCAACACAAGTTAATCAGAGCGATAGACACGAGTAATTCTACATACCCATAAAATTATTCAGTCCCTTCTTGATCCTGTATTAATCTACAACCATTGTTAGTATCTGATAATGCTGTCCGTCCCAGGTGGATGGGTCGGGCTGGTCCAGGCTCTTCAAGTTCCGGTTTGGGGTGGTGATTCCGTCAAATGACCTGCATGCAAGTCCAAAGGGGAACGGGGCAGTCCCCCAGTGAACCCTCCGGCGTGAGAATTAGTAGAGGAAGAAGAAAATATAGAGAGAGAGATGGAGAGATAAAAAACTTAACCTCTTTCTTGTCTTGTTATTATTGCTTATATCTTTTGGTAATCATTTCATTATTCCTTATGACGTGCCCCCTTCCGCCGAAAGTCTGTGCTGTAGCTTACCTTGTTCAGGGTGAGGGGGCTCTGTTCCGACGGGGAGGTGTTGTCGTAATAAATACTGTGATGGGATGCATTAATGGTAATGTGTTGTGGTAATAACTCTGCAGATCTTTGTCTGCTGATGTGGACCGTGTTCCACCTGCCATGTGTCCGAATGCCATTGGCCCCCCCATGCCTAGATGGCCTCCAGCTGTCCTGGGCTTTGCCAACCGAGTTATGCTATCAGTCCTAGGCGATGGGTTCGGGGTGGTTTGCTGTGGGCCGTATGCCTCATGGGCCTATCCATGTCAGTATCCTTGGTGGATTTTCCTCAATAAATTTGCAATTAGGGTTCCAAACCACCTCTATTCCTTGTTGAGATTATATAAAAAGGCAGGCTTGGAAACAAGCTCAATGACTCCTCTGATTAGACTACCACCTATGGTTTGTTTTAGCTGAGGATGAGATTCACTACCCTATTAGATATCTTGGTTTAGGCTTAGTCTTAATAGTCCCCTCTTGTCTTGCAAGTCTAAAGTAGCTAGGAAATTTCCCAAAGCATCGCTTAAGGCTCGTTTAGGAGTAATTGAGCTAAGCCAGAACACCATTCCATTTGCATGGGATAGAGTTGCAAATAAAAATTCTTGCAGTTGTTTCACCTGCTTACATTACGGTTAAGAGAGTCATAATTTTTGTCCCATTTTATCATATGAAAAAGTTTACATCAAGCAGTAGGTTCCACTGGACTATTAAAAGGGAAGGGCAAAAGAAATATAAAACCCAAATGATGTGAGAACACTCAAAAAAGTATTTTAAAAATATTTTTTTGGATACTAAATTCATTGGATACATAGAGATCCTCCTAATACTCATGCCCTCTTTAACTTTCTAGGTCAACAGGGTCTAGGTTTGGAGGGTGAAATTGAAAGTGTTAGCAATGGCATTCAATGCAGTGAAAGGGCATTTAGGTGTTTATATTAATTGTTTCCTCTACATGGACAGAGACTCCCAAGAAATAAACCCAATTTCAGGTTTAAATATGTTCCAAGTATACAGCGTATCTGCTCAAAGCTGGGTGATGCAAGTGCAATGCATATGACTTGGTTGTTGGGTGATGCCTACACATTTGCAGTAGTTATCCTGTCAAAATTTTATTTATTTTTTTGAATGTGTTGACCATAAAAATAACTAATGATATCACTATCTTGCTATTTTCGTCACGAGATTTTCAATCAAAAGGTATTTTTCTTTCTGTCTTATTAAGATTATTAATCAGCTGAATCGAATCAAACTTTACAAGGTCAAGTTCAACTCGTTTATTTGTTAACCTTGGAAATCAAACTCAAACTCAGCTAAAAAATCATTCTCGAGCTCAGATTGAAAATTAGTCTAACTCAAACTTAACTCATTTATATTAATCATACTTGAATTTGGCTCGAAACTCTATAATAAAGAAAATTTTCAACAAAATAATTAGACTTATTAGTCAACTTGTCAAATATTGTTTTATTTTATAAATGTTTAAATAACATATTTTATATTAAAATAATAAACAAATCCATCTTATTCTAACTCGAGTTATTTCCACTTATATAACATGTAACAAAATAAGGAAAAAGAATACAAAAATTGTCATATCAAACGTGCTAAAAAATAACTTTTAAATCCAAAGCCTATATATATATGGACATTAATAATATTTTTTTTCTTCTTTAAAGTTCATTAAAAAAAAAAAAAACCTTTCAATAATCATTTGAATTTTTACATTGACAACATTTAATTATAAATAATTTTGAATACTTCAATAAATGTTTTAATTGAAGTCCACAAAAAAATCTATATATATTTTCTTTATGTGTCATCGTATCATTCATTAGGTAACTAAATTATATAACAATATTTATAAATGACCGAGAGGTGTTATAAATTTTTTTGGGGATATTTACCAACAAATCCTATTTGACAAACAGTTTTATCGATTGGTCCTAAAGTTATTTCTATTGTTCTGATTAACCTTATTAGTGGGAGAATATCTTACCAGTTGATCTTATTTCCTTTGTTTGGTAACATTGAGTGGTCAAATATACCCTTCCTTGTGTGTGTCACGTGACATACATCATTCCAAGACAAAAAACATAAAGGGCCTTAGTGTACTTTGTTGATGTGTGCGCACTTTGTTGACGTGTGGCACCCACCGATCACCCTCAATGTGACACGTGCCAAACACTGTGTGTCATGCGACATACATTATTTCAAGGCAAAAAGCATAAAGAGTTTTAGTGCACTTTGTTGATGTTTGGCACCCATCGATCACCCTCAATGTGACACGTGCCGAACACAAATTTCGGAAACACACAAACATGAGGTTGTGCCACACCACACCATCACCTATTCAAGCGGTCAGAAAAATATGTAGTAGTATTTGCGTCATTGAGCAATAGAAAGGACCAAATAGATCAAAAGAAAAAAAGTTAGGACTAAATGAAGCACAATTTCAACGTTTAGGATTTATTGGTAACTTTCTCTCTTTTTTTATTATCTAAAACTTAATCAAAAAATAAACCGGCTCAAAATGTTAGTCTAATTTATAGAACAAAATAGATATAATATTGAGTTGAATTGAGTGACTTGGCATATGCTTGTTTTAATCTAAAAGTCAAAACGTTACTAAAAAAAATCAAAAAAGTCTATAACATATACAAAAAAAAAAATCAAAAATTTCATTTTCTCTCTATTTTTTTCACATTCTTTCGTAAAAAATCAAAAAGTCATTTCAAATATATTAGTTTTTTTTACCTCATATTTTAGATAAAAAGTTACTAAAATAGCCTGATGTCAAACGAGGCCAGTTGGAGGGCCCATAATAACTAGGGGTGAACATGGGCCAAGCTTGGGTAGGACGGGCCAGTCCTATTTTCAAGGGTTATTACCTAATAGGTCCTTAATGGAGACTCTTTTACATATGGATCCTGAACATTTTTTTTTTTAATTTCGTTTTTGCCCTCATGTTTTTATACTCAGATCTGGAGATGAAAAATGAAAAAAAAAAGAAAAAGAGCTCTCTCTAGAAGATGAAGATGAATCTGCTCGTAAAAAAGTGAAGAGAATCGATGCGAGTGAGAAGAGGTTGCAAATATTGAAAAATCAACACATTTGAAGGAAGCGAATTGGTATCATCGATCAGTCGAGTTCTTTGTTTGAATCAGAATTGTAATCGGCAAACAGTGTAGTTTCGACATCGAAAGACGCGATTTACGGTGAAAATTTGAAGCTAGAGTTCGATTTGATGAAGTCGATGCTTCGTGCGAGTTATGGTGAATCAAAGGATGCTGAAAATTTGAGGGAGAATATGGAGTTAGAATTGGTTATTAACAATAAGGCTGCTTATAAGGTTGATTTGCTTGAAGGAGATATGAAAAGATTTGAAAAAGGTCTGAATGGTAATGGTGGTGGTAGTGGTGGTGAATAGGTGAAAGAGAAGGATGGGTCAAGATTCAGGGATAACATTTTAACAGTGATAAATTTGTTTAAATCAGTGATAGATTCAGTGATAAATTTATCACTGTTGAATTTTTGTGAATTAGTAAGTGAGTGTGTATGTATGTGAGTATGAAATTTATCACTGATAACATTTTAACAGTGATAAATTTGTCATTATTAAATTATTATGAATTTGTTTTGTGAATTAGTAAGTGTGTGGATGTGTCTAGGGGTAAAAATAGAAAACACTGCTTGATTTTTTTGGATAGGACCTGCTGGGTAATAAGACCGGTCCATGGAATCGGCCCATAACTCTCCCTAATAATTAGGGGTGAACATGAGCCAAGCTTACGTGGGATATAATAACACTTGAAATCATTTTCCAAATATGACCTAACTCGGGAATGTACTTATGCTTTCTTCCCAAGCTTGTCCATGAACAAAAATAAATAAAATTTAAACTCGCAGTTCAAATATTATAATATAAATATATTCTTTTCATATTTTAAAATAAAAAAGAGAAAATTGATGATAAATCTAATTTAGAGAGTGTCTAAAGTATTATATCCAATAAAAAATTACACTTACTCTAACCATTTGGGTTCCCCTTTAACCAATTCAAGACTAGTTGTTTAAATTTTAACTAATTCTATATATCATTAATAATATAGAATTTATGATTATAAAAGTAAATTTAAAAATGTAAACCAATATAAGCAAATGGGTTCAGCTTGTCTCTCGTTGGAGATCAAAATTTGAACTGTCTAGTCCGCATCATGAATTTATTTTTGGGTCAAGTTTTAATAATTCGAACGGTTCATATTTTAGGATTCATCAAGTATATTATTCATATAAAAAATCAAGTCGATTGAATAATGATAAATACATATTCGAATCAGCTTTGTATAAAAAAATAGATAGTGAGAAAATAAACGGTTCATATAAAATTGATTCAAACACGTAATTTTCGTTATCTGATCGATTTGATTTTTTGTATGAATAATATACTTAGCAAATCTTAACACATAAATAATTTAAATTATCAAAATATAATGCAAAAATTAACCCACGAGGGGCAAACTGGACCACAAGTAAAATATACTCCTACTTATAAAAATATATTGTATGATATTGATTGTGGCGGGACAAAGTCAGGCTTCACATGAAACACTCTCCACAAACCCAACTCATATTCGGCTGGTTTAGTTTCAGTTTTAGAAAATTTTGTTTTTTATATTTTAATATTTTCAATCAATTTTTTTAATATTTTAAATAATTTTTTTTTTAATTTTTAGACATACTTAACATAAACACATTTAACAAACCCAACTCATATTCGGCTGGTTTAGTTTCAGTTTTAGAAAATTTTGTTTTTTATATTTTAATATTTTCAATCAATTTTTTTAATATTTTAAATAATTTTTTTTTAATTTTTAGACAGACTTAACATAAACACATTTAAAAAATATAATATTTGTGAAAAAAATATTTAAGAAATACACTAAAAATCAAAAAATACAAAAAAATATGAAAATTTAGTACATTTTCGTATTTTTGTATATTTATTAATTTTTTAAAATATTTTTTCACAAATATTTTATCATTTAGATACATCTAAGAAAAGTGCATTTAAAAAAGTAAAAAAATTACTTAAAATTTAAAAAATATTCACTAAAAACAAAAAAACTAAGTTTTTAAAAAACTAAATTCAAACAACTGAAACCAAACATACTGATTGTAACAATCCGAGAATTTAAACTTCCCCTATATTTTATATTAGTATTATTTAATTATAAATAATTTCAAAAAAAATAATTTTAACTTTATATTATTATTCGATATTATTTTCTAAGTATTATGTTATTTTTTTCTATATTTTTTATGAACCAAAATACACTGAAATACACAATTTTCTTCGCAACAAACTTGCGTGCCCGTCAAGCTGTCTTGCGGGCCACGCCTATCCCCTATATATATAAACAATAATGTTTCGGACCCCCTTTCCCTCCCACCCTCTTAACATAATTGGCCAGTTTTTCTTTTTCTTTTTCTTTTTTTTCCTTCTCCTCCAATTATTATCCGCCACGTGTGTGTGGGATAATGGGGGTGGTGATTGGAGGGGGTCTCAATCACGACCCATATATAAAATGCATATAGTTGTCAATCTCATCCTTATCACCAATTCTCTCTCCCTCTCTCTCTAGCCTCTAGTCCTTTATATATACAAAAGTTTGAGTTTAGTTTGAAATATTTAGTGGGTGACAGTGAGCAAAGGTAAAAATTAGAATTAATATAAAGGTGAGTTATGTTAAAGTTAGAATTAATATAAAGGTGAGTTATATTATACCATGAGTCACCATAATATATTTGACGTATGCTTTGACTTAGCATAATTTATTTTATATAAGTTATATTTTATAAATTATATTAATATTTAAATTACGTGGATTAATTTCTGAACTCTATTTGTTTAAAATGAAACTCATGGATATGTTTGTTTAAATTTTAAAGAATATTTGACCATAACCTTTTAAACAATTATGTTTTGTAAGTACCACCACGGGAGTCCTACGCCGGAGGATTTAAATAACCCCGGAGGATTTAAATAACCATTGACATCTGTTTGATCACTTTGTAGCCCTCTGTTGTCATGGATCTATTGACCTATGTTTTGTGCGGAGTAAAGTACTGTGCGGAGATAAGTGCTACACTATTGTGGGAGCCACCTTTATAATTCTTACGAGCCATCTCTTGAATTCGTACGTTTGTATTGTTATGAATCCATTGACTTCTGTTCTGACTGTCACTTCTGTGACCTTTGTTATGTTCTGTTCGGTACCGTGATTATGGTTATTTATTTACATAATCTCAGTTTTGCTGCTTATATGATTATTTGTTCAGACTAAGTTATCTCAAATATTTTAGTTACATAACTATCCATGGTTATTTAGTGTCTCTCATACTCTTGGTATAATATTTCTCACTCTACCATGTGCTTATAAGTATTTACTAATTTTCTGGAAAAAATGCAAGCTTTTGAAAAATCTTAGATGCGGGGCTACAGAACAGACACGCACAACACTTTTATGATATTTTTTATATGTAAATATCGACTTTTTTGGTCAATAAATTTTGTAATAAAAATAGAAACTCCGATGATTATTTTGGTACCCTTACTTAAATATTATTTTCGTTCATGTTTATTAATTTGTTTAAAAATTAACTGAAAATAATTTTAATTATTAACCATCATGATACTTAATTATTGGGTATGGGAAATGGACCGTGACACTGATTATAATTATAAAAAATTTATCTACCCCTACGTAGCCTAGACAATAATTTTAAACTCTATAAACATTGAGCGGGCTTAATGGGCCACCGGCACATATCAAACACTACTAATAATAAAAAGATTTATTCGGTTTGGTTTCTATTTTTTAAATTTATTTTTTAAATTTTTTATTTTTGTTAAATTTTTTTAATATTTTTAATAATTTTTATATATATTTAACATAAATATACTTAAAATAATATTTATGATTTGTTTTATAAAAAAATTCACTAAATACTAAAAATATAAAAAATGTAAAAATTAAGTATATTTTTCTTATTTTTACATATTTATTAATTTTTTAAAACATTTTTTACAAATATTTTATCATTTAAATACATTTAAATAAGTGTATCTAAAAATAAAATAAAAAAATATTTTAAAATATTTACTAAAACTAAAAAAATACAAAAAATTTTAATTTTAATTTTTTAAAAATTAAAATCAACACACTGATTAATTTTATTTGTTATTTTTTCCGATAATATCTGAATCCACGGTCACACCCTCTTATATCCAACGGCTCACAAGGTCCAAAACACCATCCAACGGTGAATATCAATTATGACACTACTTATTCTCACTCTCCCAGGCATCACTCTCGCAAAACCCTCCTCGATCGAACCCATTTCTAGGGTTTTAGTTTCTGCGCAGAGAGAGAGCGAGAGAGGCCAAGCGTACCAAGCGACACAGAAAAGGTAGCAAAAGCCCTAGTTTTCTGATTTTACTTTCAATCTATTGCTTTGATTTTTGCGTGTATGCATGTGTTTGCTGTTTATGCTTGATTTCATTCTCCAAAGTTTGGTTTGGACTGTGTTGCTTGGTGTTTGATAGATTTTTGATTGATGTATTTTTCTAACTTTAATTAATCTTTGTGTTTTAACTTCTTGTTGACGATTTGTGAGCTAGAGTAGTGATAAATGGAAGTTTGATCTCGGTGGGTTTGTAATACAATTTGTAAAGCACGTTTTTTTGTTTCTTCTTAGAAAATAAAATGGTTTTTGTGTGATTTAAAGATAAATAAATAAATAAAATTGAAAGCTTACTGCAAAATTAGAGAAAACTAGTTTCTGAGAATGGGGGACAGTAGCTGTGGAAAATTACACTCGGTTCGGATGGGGTGGTTTGGTGAGAAATGATTATAAATGATGAGATTCTTTGTTTAAGTGAGAAATGGTGCGAAAGAGAAAGCTGGGATTTTGCCCATTTTGTTTCTCACCACAGTGGTGAGATTTAGGGAGAAACAACTTTGATTGGTTATAAAATGTGTGTAATACTGAGATTGTCCATTAAAATACAAAGGAGGAAAAAAAAATTCACTCATATATCCCCTCTGTTGCATGTTTTGCTTTCTTACCCATCCAAACATGATAGTGATAAAACATAATTATTTGTTTTCTTTTCTCACCTCATGATTCAAATGGAGTGTTACTGAGTGGGTCATGCGTGTTTTATTGTTTTTTGTTCTCTTGACAGCGTTTGGTCGTTAATAGTTGAAGACTTGAAGTGCTAGAATTGATTTATTCCTTGTTGGTAAAATTTCTTGTTGCATTCTTTTTGCTGATATTGTTGTTCCCAAGAAACACATTGAATGTCAATAGCAAAACAATTGAATCCTTCCTTTGGCCAAAACCTTAAAATTTTGTCACGCTTTCCTTGTCGAAACTGGGTTGGGTTTGAGGGTTGCTTATCTGGGTGAATTAGAATGGAGGTTTGGCCCGGTCTAAACGGTCCTGCAATTCAAAAGACTAACACTGGTGATGTTACTTAATTTCATGTAATGAATTAAATGGTAGTTTTCTTTGTATGTTTCTGAATGAGAGTTGAAATTTGTGTTTTCATGACAAACTCTTGAAGTTTTCACAAGCTTTTTGAAAACAAATCACATTTGGGTGACAACTTGCCTAAGTTTAAAGTCCCATGTTAGTTTACAGCTGCTGATATCGAAGTATGGGCCTGATGAAAATTTGAATTACATTATAGATATGATCTTTTTTTAGATATGCTACATTATATTCTCTTGGGAATTTCATGGCTTAGAATTTTAATAATGTTGAATATGAAGAAATAATTTCAAAGTTACACTAATAGCTTGAAGCTTATAATTCAAAATGTGGATGATGCATTATATGCACAGCTGAATAAAGTCTTTGTATTAACTATTAGCATGTGGCTGATTTTTGGGATTCTTCTAAATCTCCAAGTTTTAGTACAACTGCACAACTAAAAGACATGAGATTATAAATAAGACAATGTTTAATAGATTTATGCTGAAAATGAACACTTGCATGTTAAAAGCACCATAAATGCTTCCGTGTGGATTCTTTAAGCCATGTCTCTGTGCACATGCTATCCTCCACATGTCTGTATTAGATATTTTTGTGGAATTTACTTTTACCTATCTTTTTGTGTTAACCCATACTGATTATTCAGCTGATTTTTCAACCTTTATACCAGAACGTCAAGGTTAAGCGACAAATCAGCAAAGTGTATGAAAATATTTCTTTAGTGTTGAGTGATTGTTTTAGTCGTAATTTGTAGTAGAGGCATTCCAATATGCCATGTGGATTTGTCATGTTCTTGTTCTCCCGTGGAAATTTTATCTGCTTTAGTCTACTAACTTACATTTTTTGTATTCTGTTTTAGGTTGCAGCAATGGCTTTCTTTAGTAAAGCTGGGAATATACTCAGGCAGACTGTGAGCAAGCACATCAATTCAGAAATCTCTGGATCCAACCCTTCTGTCTTCCAGATGATAAGATGCATGTCATCTTCCAAAGTCTTTGTTGGAGGTGCATCCAGTTCTTTCAAGTGGAAGTTATGATCATTTTTTTAGTGTTGTGCTAATATTTGTTTTGTTGAACTCGCAGGACTCTCATATAACACAGATGACACAAGTCTGAGAGAAGCTTTTGATAAATATGGAGAAGTTATTGAAGGTATATATTAATTTGGCGTATAACATTGTACATGTAAGCCCAAGGGTGCTTCATGATGATTTTTTTGGTGCGTAGTTTGCTGAACTGTTCTGATATTCTTCATTAAAATTCGTAGCATACTTGCACACGGATTCAACTTGAAATCAAGTTGTTGGGTGTTACTTGCATGCTTGTGTCACAGGAACAAAAGTGATGTTTGAGAGTGCAACCACATGTTTGTTTCTGTTTGATATTCTTAATTTGATGACTATGGTTTTGAACTTGAAACAAGAAATTTTGAATTTGCGTCTGTGCATGACTGGTATCTATCTGCCTTAAGTTTTCCTAATGGCTCTGTAATATCACTGAGTCTTGCTTCCATGTTCTATCCATTATAAGATAAATGGGACTGTGCATTGCATGTTTCCCAGCATTTTGGTATGTTGTGTTTTGCCAAAACTTGGTGAATCTTCATTGCTTTGGCTCAAGCATTATCCCTACTCCTTTATGCATAGACATCATTCTTGGGAATAGAAAAGAGTTATGTGTTTCTGTTGAGATCCTTTGGCTTTGAAATATGTGTTTAGGGAGGCTAGGTTTTATGTTATGAGAAGTTGAATGCTTTGCAACTAACACTGACCTTGTTGACATTTCTTGCAGCAAGAGTCATTATCGATCGTGATTCTGGTAGGTCCAGAGGGTTTGGCTTTATTACTTACACTAGTGGTGAGGAGGCTTCTTCTGCTATCCAGGCCTTGGATGGACAGGTACTGATTCCTTGTGTTTTTTCTGTCTTCATGACTCAGTAGAAGATTAGTGATGTGCTGGTCATAAAATTGTTGTTAATGTTATTATGTAACGGTATCAGGGACTATCTTTCTTAGCACATTTCTCATAATTTATAATTAGCCAATGGTCATGAACTGAATTTCAAGAAGCTGAAATCTCTACGGAAACAACAAGATTATTGTCATTTGCTGGAAGGTCACTTTCCATATGAGCCAATGATGCTTCTTGAGCAGATCTCCTTTAGAAATTCCAGATCATTAAAGAGGAATTTAGAAATGATATTTTTCATTGTGACAGTTTAGCATGTATAATTTTTGTTTCTATTTGTTTTGGGAGGGCTAGCTATTCTTGTCATTGATTTTTCATTTGATAATGTTTAAACAAGTGTTGAACTACATTTTAATGTGAAAAAGTTTTACCAACTGCTCTTTGTGTTGGGAAATATTTGTAGACAATTACAGTCTGATACAAAATGATGTGAAGAAAAAAGAAAAACATGATTGGTATTAATTTTGTTTCTTTGGTATAAAAAAGTTTCGTTACTATAGCTCTCTGTATGGTATATTGGTTTTTAGCTTTTTTAGTGTAATTTAATTTGGAACTTTAGTTGGCAGTGATTCTTTTGAATGTTTATGCCAGGAACTTCATGGCCGTACAGTGAGGGTGAACTATGCAAATGATAGAGCACCGCGAACTGGAGGGTACGGTGGTGGCGGTTACGGCGGTGGCGGTGGTTATGGTGGCGGTGGTTATGGTGGTGGTGGTGGTTATGGTGGCGGTGGTTATGGTGGTGGTGGTGGTGGCAACTATGCCCAAGGTGGCACTAATTACGACAGCGGGAGCAGTGGCAATTATGGCGGTGGTAACCAGAGTTTTGGTGGAGGTAGTGGTGGCAGTTATGGAGGAGGCAACTATTCCCAAGGCGGCACTTATGCAAGTGGAACTAATTACGACAGTGGGAGCAGTGGTAATTATGGTGGTGGCAACCAGAGTTTTGGTATTGCCAGTGGTGATGCTGGACTGAATGTAAGCTCCGCAAGTGATGGATTTGATGGAAGTACAGGATTGGGGCTTGGTGGTGATCAATTTGGTAGCAATGAAAGTGGCAACGTGGCTACTGCGTCCGGGGGTTTTGTCCCAGACGATTCGGTAGTGGGAAACTATAGGGATGATGATGATGAGCCTGACGACTATGCCAACAAAAGGGCCTAAAAGAGTATCTAGAAAAACTTTTGCAATAATTGGGAATGCTGAGAATATGAAGTGATTGAATTTACTTCCTTTCAGTTTACCAAGTCTTGTTTATTGCCTTTAGCCCCACCCCACCCTCTCGCTGAACTATTTATTTCTTCAATTCTGGATTCGGCTTTGTAAACTTGAAGTTTGTTGCAATTTAAGTTGCAAATTTTTATATTTGGAAGTGTTGGTAGAATGAACTGCATATATTTTGCTCAGCCTTTTCACATTTGTTTTCTTGAATGAAATGATATTTCATGCTGGTTCATTAAGCAAAGCTGATTTTGATTATGAAGTATGGGCATGACACAGACTGAAGATGTTATTTTCAATTAGAACATTGTTTGATGTCATGCACTTGTAATACTGAAAACTAGGTGGGGCATAAAGTTCTCTTGCCATTTTGTATTTATTTTGTAATGGATGTGCTATTTTGATTTTGATCTCACATCAGCTGTTTTATGACGAATTGCAAAGTTTAAAACGTATATCGTTATAACTTCAAATCTCAATCCTTTTTGGACATGGCGTGTTGTGATCCAAAACATAAAAAATTGCACTACAGGGAGTGCACTGCAAATGTTTTGAATGTCATAAAATGTAGAAGATTTGAGTTTTGAATGTCATAAAATGCAGACGATTTGAATTCTTTTACGAGTTGTTTTATGACATGAATTTTTTTCTAGACATTCCATGTCAACTTGTGAATTCATGGCTCAGAGAAGGCTCTTCACATGGTTATGAAATTGCATAATAAGTATAAGATATATTTTTGGTATAGGTTTTTCCAAAATTAAAGTCGATACATTGAAAGTAAAATTAGAAACATCTCTCTTCTCTAGCTTCTCAATATATTTTTTTGCTTTCAAATTATTCAAACTATTGCTACCTAATTAGTTATAAACAGAAAGCTCATTGACACAAATGTCCAAAATATAAAAATTACAAACAATCCTATTAAACTACATCAAACAACGCCATATATATTATCAAAATATTACACTGAAACTCTTGTTCCAATGTACTATGGTGAGTCTCATTAATTTTTAAATATGATTTTGAGTCTCATTATTATTATTATTATTATCAATTTTTTAATAAATATAATGAATCCTACAAGTAAACAGTCAATTTATTATTGTGTAGATATGCATGGGAGGTAAAATATATCTAGTGACCTTTTTTTCTTCCAAAAAATAGTAGTGAATAGTGAAACACTGGTCTATGCTGAACTTGGCTATTTTGGCAGCTGAAATTAGAGGCATTGAGGATGGCATAGTGAAAATTTCACAAAACCGCTGAGCTGAGAGTAAAGATGTCAATTAATGTGAAACACATGAAATCCAATTGATCAAAAGGGCAAATACAAAAGCAAAAGAAAGAACAAGAAACAAAAATACAGGGCATTCTATACTTTTCACTCAAAATTTCAACTTCTTTCTGGCTATTCCTTTTGTGAGTTCAATATTTTCTCGAGGAGGAAAACTTTCAAGAAGAAAAAAGGGAAAGAAAGAAGAATTTGTGGCTGCCATTAATGAAAAATTGTTTTACCTCTCTATATATATGCTGCAAAATCTTCTCTTGTTCTGTTCAATGTTCTTATTCATCCTCAGAAAACAATCGCTTTTCAGCACTTAGAATTACAGAAGAACCTTTCCTGGTTTTCTCCACAATCTTCTTTATCAATAATTTTTCTGTCTCATCATGGCCATTTTCACTTTCATCTCTGCTAAAACCACCATTCCCAGATGAAACGTGCTCATCCAACGTCCTTACCTCGCGATTATTTAGTGCCGGTGATGCTTTACCATTTTGATCAAACACTGGCAGGGCTTTTTGATGGTTTTTCTGACCTTCTGATGTCAAATCACCTTCCTCCAACTCATTTATCTTCATGAATTCATCATGTGCCTCATTATAAGAGTATAAAGCCTCCCTTGATAGATCAATAACCACAGATTGGTCTATGGCATTTAGTTCTTCCATCACAATTGGACTTCCCCGGTAAGAGGAGGATCTAAATTCACTGTCCAAAAAATCCCTACAAAAAATCTTACGCTCTGATTCCATGAAGTGAACCTTCCTCTGGCTGTTTTCAAGTGCTGTCTCGAGCTCCTTGACACGGTCTTCTAGTCTGGACTGAATGACTTCATGCAGACACAAGGTTAGCTGTCGGGGAGAGACCGCATAGTTAGCAGAGTGAGGGGTGGAGGTCCCACTTCCATCTTGGTCTGCATAAGGTTGGGCACCGGCTTGGCTTGCAAATATGTCAGATCTCAATTCGCCCTGAGTGATGTCTGGTACAAAGTCCGGGTCAAGCTGCAGCGAGTTTATGCTCCATCAAATCTCATAAAACCAACAAAATAACATGATTACCGTAACATAAGAGAGTTCATTCTAACTGTACGCAAAGTAAACGTTCAAGGTGCACCTATTGCTGTTAGTTATGTACCTTAAAAATAGACGAAAAATACATAAAGCAATTATCTGGTAAATTACCAATGCTAACTTTGACATGAGCATCGAGTGTCATTTAACAAAAACACTTCCGGTCAAGGATTCTAATATGTGAGAAAACAAATCATTGTCAACATGTTTCATTACGTTTCAATACAAACTTAGAAATTTCAGTTTTCCAATAATGTTTGCGTCAGTTTCCTAGAGACAGAAACATTTCAGCCGCTTTGATGAAAATGAAACAAAATTTCGTTCCTTTTTTCTAGAAGGTTGTCCAATTTTCAAAACTATTTGTCACGAGTAAACTCAGTTGAAATTTGATATTTTGAGTCACTCTGGATAAATAAATTTAAAAAAGAGCAACGGTACAATAAAAAATGGGAAGGGGAAACCAAAGCATGGTGTTTTTTAGGAATAAGTGCAAGATTTTTGTGATAGGTAAGTAAGGAGACTCAAACTTGAGTCTCTTTATTGGCGGGATGTGGTCTAAGCCACTGGGTTATCTGCTAGGGGACATAAGTGCAAGATTTTTACATCCAACATTGTTCATAATAATTAGGAAATGTGCCAAAATATGGTATAGGGTGTGAGTAACTGGTCATGCATGCTAGCTTTGATGCAAACTTTTGAAATTACTTAAATATTTCAAAAAAAAAAAAAATGTCGTACTTGCCTCCTGGTGAAAGCAGCAAAGGTGTAAAATACTAAAGACTATTCACATCAATACATAATAAGTAGTTGGCAATGGAAAGGCTGCAAAGTTCAAAGTCTAGTTGGTCAACGATGCCAAAGTAATGTATATGAAATTTATCTGAAGTTCAAACCACACAGAATTCATATTTCATCCTGTTTGACAACACAATTAAGCACATAAATATTGAATGTATCCAATTGTTTTCCAATGTAGTGTGTTCGATGACGTGCAATCGCCAACCACTTAAATCTAAAAGTACTTTTTACTTCTAAAGTTAGAGCGACTTGACTTATTGCTGAATGCTACCAAAAATGATTAGTAAAAGTCCGTTTTCATTTTTAATCTCAATTTACAAAGTTACATTGAAAATTTCAAGCTTAATAGTCAGCATACAACTATTTTAATACGAGAAATGCTATGTATTCCAAATATTCTACCAAACTTCTCACATGGGGTGGGACTCACACAAATCCAAATGTGTGTGGGTCCCACACCCATGTGAGAGATTTGATAGAATATTTGAGATCCCTAGCATAACTCTTTCAGTACACAAGTTTTTTGGTACTTAATTTTCAGCTTTTTTAAACAGCCCCAAAGTATTTGAAGAGGTGTTGAAGCAAAACAATTATGGAAGTAGACACGAGATAGGTAAGCAATGGCCGTGCCTGGTTTAACTTTCTAAAACTAATTCCACCCTTACATTCTAATGTTACATTTGGTTTAAGTTTTCAAATCATGATTCTAAATCAATTTCAAAGCATACTTTGAAAACATGTTTGGTAAACCGACAGTTTTTGAATTTTTGGTCTACCCAGTCGTCTACCCGAACATCCGGGAGGATGCCCGGCTGGTTGACCGGAACAGTACTTTTTTTTTGCAATTGCCAATTGCCAATCGCCACCTGTTATTTGAGGGGAAAAAATTATAATAGTTTTTGATATTTTTTAAATATACAAATTATTTTTTTAAACCAAAATGACAAATTATTTTTTTGAATTGAATTTTAAAAAGAGTTTGGTCATGAGTTTTGAATAAAATTTTCAATAGAGTTTTGAATTGTGTGTTTGGTTATGAGTTATAAGTTATTCAATTAAGTTTTGAAAATTCTTTTCAAAACTCATAGCCAAACAACTTTTCTCATTTCATATGCCACATCAAAAATTCAAAATTCAATTCAAAACTTTTTTCAAAACTCATAACTAAACAAATTTTCTCTTTTCAAATCATAATTCCAAAACTCACAACTCAAAATATAACTCTATTCTTAAATCATAGTTCTAAAACTCTACCAAATGCTACCCTTGTTTTCTTAAAAAACTAATCAAAGGTCAATAGTGAATTCCAATAAATTAAGTCGATATTTACCTCAACAAAATATAAATAAATAAATAATAAATAAAGACTTTTTGCTTATTACCTCAACTAGATCAGACAATCTTCCCTCCAAACTTGATGAATTCATGTTTAGTTCCAACCTTTCCAGTTCAGCTTCAAGCTCTGCTTCAATTTTACTCATAGATTCAGAATCCTCCTCTGCTTTCTGATCAGGCAATTCTTTACTGTCAGATTTTGTTGAACCATTCAAATTCTGTTCAGATGAAAATGAATGTGGTGCCCTTTTGTTATAAGAACGGCAATATGCATCTTGTGATTCATAATCCTCAATGGCAAGCTCTTTCACGGTTAACGAATCTTTCATCTCAAGTTCATCTTGTAGATCTTGAACCAAGTTTTCAGTCTGCTTCAACAAGTCATTCAATTTTTCTACCTCCCTTTTATTTGCTAATAAAGAAGATAACACGCCTACAGATAATCCAAGACCAAAAAGAAATGCCCCATGGGATGATCCTGATCAATGTGAAAATATTAGGAATCAGAATCAGAAAAAAGAAAACATTATTCAAGTAAATGAATTGAGCACCACACAACCTACAAAATGTCATAAAATGGAAACCTACCTCACTATAATGTCTAGGCATGTATGTAATTGCAAGTGTGAATGATTTCATTAAGAATTTTTTAATTCCCTCATACATTAGTAGCTATAGGTTATTAAAAAGAGCCATCCAAGATACAGGTTGACAGGCATTAGCACTTCATTTGTAGAGCCCAAAAGGGGAGGGAAGGGGGGGAAGGAGAAGATAAAAAAGTGAAACAACATAAAAGAAGGACAAAAAAGAAGAAGATTCCATCTATGAAAGCTATTTTTCAACATAGGCAGCTAATTCAAAAATATGGGAAGACGAGTTTCAACTTGATACATTGGTATAATTAAAGACACATACAACGGGGCAGTGACTAGTGTAAGAACTGTAGAAGGAGAAACAATTGAATTTCCAACAACTGGTTCACATCCAAGATCAACATTAAGACCTTAACCTTTTGCATTTGTTATGAATGAACTTACTAAGAACATTCAAGAGTATATCCCTTGTAGTATGTAATTACTTGCAGACATATAATTTCAGTTGACAAAACACGAGTAAACTTTAAATTAGAATTGTGGTGAGATACTTCAGAATCTAAAGGATTCAAGTTAAGTAGGACAAAGACAGAACATATGGAGTGTAAGGGATGAAGGTAGAGTAAAACTTTGATGGGATTGTCCGAGATCCAAAGGGGGTTTTTCGGTATCTTCTTTTTATGGCAAACTTGTGGGGGATAATGCTGGTGTGTTTCCTGGAAGTGCATATGGAATACGGGTTCACCGTCTAAGGTTGCTTTTTTCATTTGGATAGTTGCTCTAAGACATATTCTGACTATTGATAATTTAATCCAGCAAAGGCATTGTTTGGTTAATTGGTGTTGCATGTGTTGTAGGGATGCGGAAACAATGGATTATTTACTTCTTCATTGCCCCGTTGCGTCTCGACTTTGGAGTTTCATTGTTGCATTGTTTGGTTTGGTGTGGGTGTAGCCGGGGTTTGTGTTGGGTGTGTTAAAAAGTTGGGGTGGGGCTCGGGTGGAGAAGAGGCGTCGGAAAGGCGTGGGTTCTTGCGTCTTATTGTTTGCTTTGGTTGGTGTGGTTGGAGCGGAATAGGCGAGTTTTTTAGGATGTGTGTCATTCCGTTCATGGTTAGAGAATAGGTTGTTGATGGTTTTGTATAGTTGGGTTATGAGTTCGGTTGATCCAAATGTTTTGGCTTTTGTAGATTTTGTGGAGAATTTGATTAGTTAGTCATGTTTGGACCCTTTGTGGGGTGAATTTTTGTATTTTTTGCATCATCTTGACGCTTTTCTAATAAAGTTTGATTATTCATCCCAAACAAAAAAAAAAACTTTGATGGGCATGAGATACCAAAGAATGATCAAGTTTGAGGAGATTGACAGTCACAAGGTCAACCGCATCCTGTTAAACCCTGGTTCGTTGGTCAACCCTCTGCCCATGCTGAAGGTGACTAGTCTTTCCAAGCAAGATCTGAGGTATGAAGCATCGAGTGACTGACACTCTCTCTCAGTTCTTGTATCCGTGTCTAGGACATGGACATGTCTGTACTCATCTCAGACAAGTGTCACATCAAAATAAGTGTCTGAATTTTTTACATATTTTTTGAACTCTCTTCTATTTTTTTGAACAGCAACGAAGACACTATACCATTAAACAAGTAAAAGGAGTTACAAGACATCTCTGACACATCATGATACATTGAGGACACATTTACCACAATTTTTTTTCACTGATTTGATATCAATTGAAAGTAACTTACAGCCTATGGTTGCTTGGAAGTCAGATAAGCAATAAAATTGTATGATAGCTATCTCAAACTAGTATGAAATAGTCTTTTATGTTTTATCATATTAAAATCATGCACACATGGAAAAGAAAATTCAGCCAGAGTGAGAGAAGCACACCTGCTAGTGAGTGGAGGCTTTTTCCATTGACCATTTTACTAGAACTGCTCAATTTACCACCCAGCTCCTTTCCTTTTTTAAGTTTCACATTTGGGAGCTCCAAAGACCCAACATGTGGCAGTGGAGGAACCCCAAATACAGTCTCATGCTCTGCTAAACATATTTCCTTATGCGGCTTATTTTTCTCAGTTTCAATTTGCAAATTGAAAGAATTGTCCCCTCCTTTGTGGATTATTTTCTTTCCATCTGTCACAAAGAATGGTTTCACTGTTGGTGAAGATAGTAAGGGAACAGAATTAAGCACATACTCTTCCATTCGAGCATGTTCCTTATATAATTGAGCCATTAGGCAACTTTCTAGGGAAGTCAGAGGCTTAACGAATTGCCTATTGGATTGTCTACTACTAAGAGATCTTCGTTTCTTTGCAAGACCATAAGCAATGCCCATTTCTTTCATAGAAGGTTCACGAAATAAATCGCCAACATTCTCTCCCACATTGCCCTTTACTGTCAATCCTTCTGTAACTACTTGAAGGTGTTCATTCTGCAAGTACACAGGAGGACACAAACTTGATATAGAAAGTACATTGCAATCCTTGTGATTATCTGAATGAACCAGTTTTTCACAGTCAAACCCACTAGTCAAAGCCATCTCTGGTGCAGAAGCACCATGTGCAGCTTGTTCCGTTTCTGTAAAAACATCTTCACCTAGTATTTTTCTTGGTGCCAATCTTTGGAAAGAACAGCTCTTGTCACAAAGGTGGCCCATGGAAGGTGGTGATTCAGGTTTCACAAACTTGGAATCCCCAGAAGAAAACTCTGATGACCTTTCCCTATCCATCGAACGATTCTTCTTCCAACACTTGGTTACATAGCCGGCACCAGCAGCTGCAACAGCAATCCATAAATCCATGTCTTCTCTACCTTTCCCAGCAAGAACACTACCCAAATTCAACAATACAAACTTTCCTTTTTGTTTCAATTCTCAGCATGAAAAACCCAAAGACAAAAATTTCCATGAATCCAAACAATGCTGAAATCCTAGAACCAAAAGCCCTCCAATTCTGTGAGGCAATAATAATCAAATGAAAACAAACAATCCCCCCTGATTCACAACCAAGATACAATGCCTCAACTCAAGAACCAATAACACTATTTCTTTAGGGCAATAATCAATTGCAAAACCCTCTAATTCTGTGAGGCAATAATCAAATAAAAACAAACAATTCCTGCTAATTCACAGCCAAGATACAACTATTTCTTTAGAGCAATAATCAAATGAAAACAAACTATCTCCACTAGTTAACGATCAAGATATGATCCCTCAATTCAAGAACCAAGTACAATCTATTTCTTTAGAGCAATAATAATCAATTGCAAAACCCTCAAACCCAGACACAAATTGTCAACCAAAAAGACATATTAAAAAGCAACAAATGAATCAGAGCCCCAACGCTAGAAACATAAAATGCTAGCCAGAGCCCCAAATACACTGCTCCTTCAACCTCCAAAGAATCAGACTCATATCAGAAACAACAACAACACATCAGACCAAGCTGAGGACAGATATCAGAAATTCAAGCAACACCCATTTGAAATCAATCCCTTCACTGCAAAACCTATTAATCAAAAAGAACCCATAATCAGCAAGAACCCAACATTACCAATGTGTGAACCACAAACCTATAAAATGCAAAACCCACAAATGGAGTGACCCATTTTTTGCCAAAGCTCACAAGTACAGTATCAAGCCATGGACTATGAGAAGGAGAAGAAAGATTATGAGGTTAAAAAAAGGCTTACTTTTCTGATTCTGAAATCGAAAAGGCTGATTTTTCAGAAAGAAAAGAGATGTTTGGCAAACCTAGCGGACCCAAGATTCGACGACGATGCGATTCTTGTAGCTGTGAAGAGATTTTGGGTTTGGGTTTGGGTTTGGGTTCCTCGGAATCATAACACCCATTTCCTATCTACACACAGACGATACCGCTACAAAGTTAGAGAGAAATACAAATATATATATATATATATAGTGCTAAGAATGAAATTACTATTGCCAGGCAAAAAAAAATAAAAATAATTAAGTGACGCTTATTTTGGAAAGTACTGTAGCAAATATATATCTGTAATTCGAATAAGTAAATATAAAAATAAATAATAAAAAATTTAATATTGTAATATGTATATTGTTTAAATAATAAGAGTGTTCTTAATGAAATTCAAGATCTTAAATTCAAATTTTGTTCATGTAAATAATATATTTTTTTTATTTTAGGATAGAAAAATTTGTCACGTGACAAGTTCAAATCTTGGTCATGCATTTGAATAATATTTTTTTATTTTAGGATATAAAAATTTGTCACATGACAGAATGAGTAGTCACCACACTATTAGACACCAAGTTATGTCATCGCATATATAATAGTATAGATGTTAAAAATTGATTTTTAAATTTTTTTTGATGTTTTAAAAAAACGTATGAAAAAATAGAGAAATAATAGGACTTAAAAAAATTTTAAAAAATTAATAGAATGACTTTTAACCGAATTGATAAAAACAAGCATAAATATCATTTTACCTACTTATCTGTGCAGACTCATGAAATCTGTTAGGCCAAGTTGGGCTCGGGTCGTATGACAAAAAGTTTAAAAAGTCAACTCTTTACCTTTTTTTAGTTTTTTTTAATCAAAAAAATTAGATTTTTTAGTCAAAAAAATTAACTTTTTGTCAAAAAAAAAGCCACCAATAAAGTCAAAAAATTAAGGTAGCGTTTGATAGAGTTTTGTAAATGTGATTCGAGAGCATGAGTTGTATTTTGAGTTTGTGTGTTGTGAAATTATGATTTGAGTGTAGAAAATTTGTTTGGTAAAGAGTTTTGAAAAGAGTTTTGATTTGAGTAGGGAATTGTTGATGTGACATTTGATATGTGATACAAAAATTTACAGCTCATAACTAAACATACAACTCAAAATTATTTTGAAGTACATAAAAAATTTTAAAAATTTCAGAAAATATTTTTTTTTGATTATATAAATCAATTGCAAAAAAAAAAAAATCACTATTTCGGTCAACCGGTCGGACGTCCTGTGAGGCAAAATTTTAAAAAAAAAAAAAACGCGTCTGTCAAAATAGAAAACCGCAAGTGTTCTGTGTAGAGTTTTGAAATCATCATTTGAGAACACTAACCAAACATCATACTTGAATTAAGGTATGGAATCATGATTTGAATTCACAACCAAACAGAGCCAACTTTTTACTAATTTTTCAAAACACTCCATAATAATAAGGGATTTTGTATCTGTCAAAATCTGATTTGACTTTAACATCCGGCCTCCATATCTGTCCAAGTCCAGTCCCAAAAGTAATTATAAATTTCAAACTCTCCTATCGGGCTATCTATTAAATAATAATAAAATATTTCATAATTAAATTCAATTATACATTATATTTCTTAAATAAATATAATGACATCAATATAAATTGAAAAATTTTATGTATAAATTGAATGATTTCTTAAATAAATTTAATTGTATATCATCATAATTGTGAGTTGTAATAAAATCAATAAAGATAAAGTTTAAATCACAATAAAAAAATATATATTATGATTAATTAATTAATTTAATAGCAGGCTGGGCTGAGTTGAAAGTATAAATCTCAAGTCCAACCTATTAATATATTGGGTTGAAAATGTTAGCTCAACTCCGCTCTGTGGGCTAAAATAATATTTTTAATTTTTTTTTTTAAAAAAATTAAGGTCAGGTCAGGTAAGCTAACGGGTCGACGCCCACCCCTAGAGTAGAGAGATGAAAATGATATATTTTCATAATTGAAGTGGTCAAAATATACAAATTTATAGATGATGAGAATAAAGTTGTTATTCACAAATAGTTGAGAGAGTTTTAGGCTCTGTTTGGGAATTAACTATTTTAGTTAATTTTTTACAAAAAAACATACAAAAAGTAGAGAAAGTAATATGACAATTTATAATATTTTTTAGCTACAAACTCAAGTCTCGAAACCCAAAAAAAATATAAAGAAAAATTGCAAATCAACAGTGCCTTTATAAAATATTTACAAATTTATGAATTTAAATATTAAAATTAGTAAAGTTTACCATTGATTTGAATTTTTTTTAAAAACATACGCGCAATTTTCCCAAAATATAACTGCTTCTAGAGAAGTTGCTTGAGAAAAAAAAGACTTAATTCTAGGGTGAACATGTTTGATTATTATATTACATTTAGGTATAATTTGTTGTGGAGTTTTATATTATATTAATGTCTCGTTTGGAAATAAATTATTTTAATAATTTTTTAATTTTTTATAAAAAGATATATAGAAAAGTAAAAAAATTAATCTAACAACTTATAGTGATTTTTTAACTTTCTAATTAAAATATATAGTTGCCCAATGATGCCTAATTATGTCATTATCAATGTAAAATAAATGGGTCATGATTGAGACCCCCTCCAATCACCATCCCTATTATCCCCACACACACGTGACGGGTGGTGATTGGAGGAGAAGGAAAAAAAAGAAAATGAGAAAGAAAAACTGACCAACCATGTTAAGAGAGGGTCAAAGGGGTGAGAGGAAAAGGGGGTCCGAAACATTATGGGCAATGGTAGAGGGCCACAATTTTTGTGGCTCAAATGGCTCAAAACTGTTAAAACGACGTCGTTTTGAGCACAAAACATGTCAAAACGACATCGTTTTGATAGTTTTGAGCCATTTAAGCCACACAAATTGTGGCTCTCAAACATTATTCAAACATTATATATCAAAAGCAGAAGTTATTCTTAAGCGAAATGCTCCGTAGCTCGAATAAACCGAGGCTCGAGTGGCTTGAAAATTTTCTCTTTCCTCTTCATCACTTTCCTTTCCTCTCCTTTCCTCTATCTCTATTCTTGAAAACAAAAAATCATTCAACACTCTCATCACTCTCACCTCTAATCCCTTTCTCTGATCACTCTTCTTATCTTCCCCTATTTTTCCTTCTTGTTTTCTCACTATGTTTCTCTCTGTACAAACGGCGAATAGCGACAACTGGTGAAGGACAAACGAAGACAACCGAATTTGGGTTTGATTTTGAACTGATTTGTTTCTCTCTGTTTCCTTTCTTTTCCTTTCCAGATTTGTTTCCTCTTCTCTCCTCTCTATCTCTATTCTTGGAAACAAAAAAGCATTCAAACACTTTCATTCAACATATTTGGGTTTAATTTTGAACTGATTTTTGTTTGATTTGGGTTTCGATTTCAATTTTGATTTGTGGTTGTGGGTTTGGGTTTGGTTTTTGTTTTGATTTTGATTTTTGATTTTTGATTTTTGGGTTTGGTTTTGGGTTTTGGTGATTCTTCTTCTTCTTTCTAGACTGAGTTTTGAATTTTTTTCATTTATTACCTACAATTTTTGTTTGATCTTGGATGGTGTAAAATTCCCATCTCTCTCTCTCTCTCTTTTACTTTGTGTGTTGTTTTTTGTTTGGTCTCATCCAACAGTTAAAAAGGTGCCAGAGCCATTCGAGCCTACGATTATTTGAGCTACCAAGAGGAGTTGAATTCTTAAATGATGTGAGTAATGTCAACAACCACATTGGATAACACTAAACAACAATGCTAGATGATCATAATTTTTGTAGTTACACTGGTTCAAAATTGTCAAAACGACGTCGTTTTGGCATGTTTTGCACCCAAAATGACGTCGTTTTGACAGTTTTGAGCCATTGTGGCCACAAAAATTGTGGCTCTCAAACATTTTCCAACACTAAAATGTAATCACTCTAATGTTTTTTTTGTTTTTTTTTTATAAATATTTTTTTAAAAAAATGGTTGGTGATTTAATATTGTTTTAAAAATGAGAATTTGAAGAAAATAAAAAATTAAAAATGAGCAGTTATTCATAAATCTCTCTATACCTACTTATATTCTATTTAGTTTTAATTATTTTTTTATATTTCAATAAGTTATATGGATTACATAATTAAAATATCCCTAATAATAAGAGAGTGAAGTGCGTATTAATGTTCACATTGATAATATGAATGTTTCGTGATGTAAACATTCACACTGTCAAATTTATTTAATGTGAATATTTACATCACTAAGTTGTTAAGGGTTCAAAAAATATTTATAAGGATAAAATTGTCCGCAAAATACCTTAGATATGATATTTGGATTTAGTGGATCAAATATCCAAAATAATAAAATTTATTGAAATATAAAAATATCTTACAAACTAATTGAAATACAAATAAGATTTTCTAATAAATTACCCAAACAAAGAATAGTTAATTTTTGAGAAGATACAAAAACATCACAATATATAATTGGTTTCAATGAAAAAAGCCATTTTTTGGCTATTTAAAAAAATAAAAAAAAAATTATTATGTTTGTTTCTAATTACACTTCTTACATTGGAAAAGTTTGTTAAAAAAAAAATAAAAAAATAAAAAAATTGCTTGTGACAATAAATGGCATATGGTTATACAAGTGGCAACTGTAAAATTTTTGCTAAATCATTTTTTTTTCATTCATAGTGATTATTATTTTTTTATTGACAAAAGTCAATTATTAGTTATTAAATTGATCAAATTTTATTATTATTATTATTTTTCATAATTAATAGATTGGTTTTAGGTGTTGTATTTTGGAGTTTGATAAGACTTGTTTTTCTAATAGAATTGATTTTACTTATGAGCAATGGTAGAGAGCCCAAATTCTGTGGCTCAAATGTGGCTCAAATGGCCAAAACGACGTCGTTTTAAATCATTTTTTTTTCATTCATAGTGATTATTATTTTTTTATTGACAAAAGTCAATTATTAGTTATTAAATTGATCAAATTTTATTATTATTATTATTTTTCATAATTAATATATTGGTTTTAGGTGTTGTATTTTGGAGTTTGATAAGACTTGTTTTTCTAATAGAATTGATTTTACTTATTATGAACGAAAAATGCTTAGCAAGTTTGTTGCCATTGTTAAACCAAAGAATGAAAAACTATAAATTGTAGTGAAGAAGCAATTATTGGCATAGCAACAACCAAAATAGAAGTTCAAATTTTTATTTTTCTCTTTTTTACTAATTAAATTTTTATCTTGTATTCGAATTTGGGATGACTCCATAAGAAAATCATTTCATCCAGAAAGTAAATTCATACAATTTCTCTTCCCTTTCGACCAATTATTAATCAAAAAATTTTAAAAAAAAAGACTTATAAGATACAATAGGGCTTAAAATCTTTTAGTAAAAAAAGACTAAAATGAAAAGGGTAGTAGGGATTTAAAATTGGTCTTGTAAGCATATGAAGCATCATAGAGAGAGAGAGAGAGAGAGATGTAGCACCATCTTGATGTTCTCCATTGTGATTAATATAGTCGAAGTTAGTTTAAGTTTCTCTATCAAGAATTATGTTGAATTTCATATGAAGATTAGTCCAACCAAATCATATTGAGTAAAATCTTACAACACTCAAAATATAAATAAGTTAACACCTTGCCTTACAAGTTATAGAAAAACCTCATTTTGAAATTTAGTCCGAGCCTCAGAACTTTGGACCACTATTGCTTTACAAGTTATGTGTTAAATAATTATTTTGTTAATATTTTTGAAGAAAATATATAAACACTTGAGGGTTTAGCTTGGCTTGAGTAAGTTTTAACCAGACTGAACAACTTGAACAATAAGATTGTGACACATTAACATCAATAGCAAAAAGAAAGTTCAGATTTGCCTACATCACAATCAGAATGGCAAAATAAAATTCGACAAGCCTATAAAGACCTAATATTAGGTTTTGTGAGTCATGGACAAATTTAAGTTTTTTGTATGTTGTAAATGGCGATGTGTCACAATCTTTTTTGCTCGATATGATAAACAAAAGGTTTAGAGTTGTCCATACTCATAGTTTGAATTAATGGCAAAACTCAATCGCAAAACTCAATCTGACACTTTCATAAAGACCTAGTGGGTGTTTGGCAAGTGAGTTTTTATGTAGGTTTTTTTAATTGTAAGATATTATTGGAGAATTTTTTTTTGTATTTGGGAAGATAATTGAATTTTTTTGTGGTTGGATGTGATGTTTGTAAAAGAAAAAGTGAAATGATTATGAAATTTGATGTGATATTTTGTTTGGAATTGTTTTTTTTTATTTTGCAAAAATTTTGTCTTTTAGTGGAAAAATTCAAAAAAAACCCAATTTTTTTTTTTTGCCAAACACCACCCTAATATTGGATTTTGTGAGTGCATGAACAAATCAAGCCTCTTGTTGTCACTGATGTTGACATGTCACAATCTAGCTGCTCAAACTGTTCAATCCAATTGCTATCCAAACTTAAGACAGCCAAATTCAATTCAGAAACAAAACTAGAATGAAATTGGATAAGACTGTGAAGGGGCAAGGGCATTTCGCTGACAAGTCTTTTTCCAGAGTCCACTTAAACCCTTATTTTCATTTAATTACTAGGTTGAATAGAACTCTTTGCCTCTTTCATATAAAATAAAGGGTTAATTATACCAAAATCCTCTACTATCAGCGAAAATCAACTTATTCTCACATTTATGACATATTTTGACCATTTCAACTATAAAATGCATCACTTTTACCTCTCTAGGCCATCTTAAAAAATAGACATTTGTATAGTTTTTGTAGTTGAGGAATCATTATGCACGAGTTCAAATTAAGAGGTAAAGTGGTATTCAATATATATTAGAAGAGAGGGGATGTTAGGTTGCTGGGATTATGAAAAGATCTACCTCACCAACAAACTTGCCGCCCACCTCTACCTGACCTTAGGTCTTTGATCAGAAAGTGGACTTTAATTATATATATGTATATATATATATATAATAAACTTAACTTGACACTAAGCAAGTGAAAAATATCATCATTTGGGGAAAGTTATTATACCAAGTGACAAGCAAAAAGTGAGGAAAAAAGTGACTTTAGTTCTTTTTTCAGGTACAAAGTGACTAACAAATTGGTTGATGCTGATAAAGTAAAGTCCCTTATTCTACTCCTCTAAGGATTGTGAAAAGTGACCTAATGGCTTGCTTGTAACACATTTCTAATAGGTGCCTTCTAAAAAATTACTACCCATTGTCCCATTCTATTCATGTGTAACAAACTTAACCTTAGACAGAAGGTGAGAACAATAAATGTTTTCCCCCAAACCTTACCAGATTTGTTGAACATTACAGAAATTCTCAGTTCATACTATTTTGCTATTTGGTTCTGAACAAAAATGATCGAAGATGAACCCTATTTGGAAGTTGACATCCGAATTGCACAAATGATATAAATTGAGACAAGCTGTGGTATGCAAATAGAAACTCGGTATGGATCCAGCGACATTAACATATACATAGGCCACCTACTAAAAAATAAAGACAACTAGAAACTAATGAAACTTGCCTGAAGTAAATTTCAAGTAGTAACATATCACTAATACTTGTGTGTGAATTGTACATTATTCTCTCTCACACTCTGTTTAGGGAAAAATTATTTTCTGAAAAATCTTTATTAATTCTTGTACAAGTCTTATACATTATCCTTTAATATAAAGGAAGAAGAATAATAATATTGTAACGGTAATGGAAGACTACAACAATAAAATGCAAGTGCCCTAGGCAGCAAACAACAAAGAAATAAGATAAAATAAAAACAAATACAAAAGAATTAAAACTATTCCAAGGAACTTATCAGATCACCAAAGTTGAAAACCAGCCAATCGGCATTTGTTGCAACAGCCTCTCGAAGTTGAACTCCAGCATAGCAAATAAACAAGTTTGCACCTCCTGGTTTACGAGCCTACATAGAAAAGAAAAATCACATCAAAGAGGAAACATTTTACTCAAATACAGAGCATAACTTATATCAGAATGCCACTCTTTAGCTACAAGAATGCTGCTTCATTAGGTAACCCTATTGGACAATCCAACTATATTGGCCTTAAAAAAGTTAATAACATAGCCCTTCAAACTGAATTTGTGTCACATCACATAGTGGCAAATAGTTTGAAACTAATGTAATTGAGAATGCGAACCAAGCCATAACATAAAAATAATGAAAAGAGAGAAAGAATATTCATGCTGAAATGTAACAAACAGGAAATCATCTTCAGTCAATATATATATATACACAAGGGACTTCTATTGGTCTGCTAATGAAGATCCACGTTAGATTTTACAATGTTTGGTTAATTTTTCTTACCTCAAGATCAGTTGCACCATCCCCAATCATGACTAATGCCTTGTATCCATAAGCCTGCAAATTTAAATCAGATTTACAATCAACAGTCTTCAAACACCAAAACTGAAATCAATAGCTATAATACTGACCTTCCTTATCTGTTGAACTGCAGTGGCTTTCCCTCCACTCCTTGAAGTAGGTTCATTTGCATCAAACCCCAAAAATTTCCCGCAATTTTCAAATAGCAATTGATTGGCAAAAATATTTTCAGGTGGAATACCAAGGATTGATGCAACAGGCTTCAAAAGAATTAATCTGGTTAGTAATTTTAAAGACAATCTGGAAATGTATTATTTGCCCTTCAACTAATACTCAAACACACATATGTGATGTATCCGTGTCAGACACCAACACTCTTTGCACATATCCCGACACATGTCTAACACTTGTCAAAATGTAACCTACTTTTTAATTTTTTTTAAAGACTTGGACACTCTTCGGACGCTTGGAGGACACACATATCTATCGTTTAAACACGTGTCTATCGATTGGATACGGGTGAAACTAATTATAAGTTTGAACGAAACAACTTAAAATTCAATAATAATAATAATAATAATAATAATAATAAAACCATATAAATTTATAAGAATTAGTATCATATTGCGTTTTTTTATTTTTTTTGAATGATATATTCATAAATTTATGACATGTAATAAATACATAAAATTATATATTTTTATGCATGTCCCCCACGTATCGTGTCCTGCATTTTTTGAAAATTAGCATATTAAATGTGTCTGTGCCATGTTGCGTGTCTGTCTCCATGCTTCTTAGGTTCCCATAAGAGTAGCCCTCGAATCCTCTTGTTTATTAGTTCCCATAAGAGTAAACCTAAATAAAGCAGTTTTTTTAAGTATAAAGCAGTTTAGTTCCCATTAGAACATCAAAAATATATGAAAAGCATTATTAAATTATTAATACATCTATTTGGCCACATAAAAGTACTCATTCACATGTACTTGTGATGCGGAATATAAACAGTTCCAAGAGAGTAAATTTAAAGAAGAGGCGATATTTGAAAATTGGAATGGTTTCAAAGAGAAATTCATAGGAACCATACATCATATCATGGGATAAATTACCAATAGGTCCTAATAGTTAGACTTAATTTCCATCAAGTCCTATTGAAAATAAGTCTTGGTAAAATTGTTGCTAAAAATAATTTTTTTGTGATAATTTTTTATATAGGTCGTTAAAAATTGACAATTAGTAACTTTTTTTGGTCATGATTTTTATAAATTGTCGCTAAAACTTACAATTAGTGACATTTTTTTATGACAAATTTTTTTCATAGGACCTATTAGACAATAAGTCCATTCATTAGGACCTACACGTAAGTACCCCTTTCTAATATTATTATAATTTTATTTTATGATTATTTTTATGTTTCTAGGGTTTTTAGGCGAGGGATATTTTGATAATTTTATATTTGCTTACATGGGCTGTAGGGGTCGTTATGTGGGTCAAGTTATTTAATTGAGTTTTATTTATGTTTCTTAGTTGGTCTTAAATTAGTTTTGGAAGTCTAAGTTATTATAGTAGTTTTCTTTTTTTGATTCTAGTTGGTTTAGAAAATTTCTAAAATCTATATAAAGCCATGTAATGCCTCTAATTCAATAGAGTTGATATTTTTATAAAAAGTTAAAGAGCTTTGAAGCTTCTTTATGGATTGTGTGATGCAATCAAATCCTAAGTGTGATGCCTATGGAATCTAGGTGTAATGCGTAGACCTATCTTCTTCTTCTCCTTTCTTCTTCTTTGTGTTCAATTTGCTATTCTCGGATTACTATTTACAGCCCTCTAAAAGTGCATTTTTCAACCTCAAAACTCCATCTAATCACCCCTCAAATCAACCCTAATTCCTTCTCCTACCTATTAGCCTCCAATTTACTCTTGAAGCCATAATTTACTCACCGTTTAGGCCATCAAATAACCTCTGTTTTGAAATTCCAGCGCTATCCCTATTTGTCCTGCATCAACTTGACCTAACATCTCAATTCCACAATACTAAAATCAAACCACCTGTAAGTTGGGATTTGTTTACTTGGGCAGCTGCATTTTGATTCCCAAAACAAATCTAATCTTGGTTGTGCACAGAAATGCTATCTAATATGAGGCTGCTGACTGCAAAGCTTACATGCATGAGAATGCACAATAATGAAATCCATGATATTTAAGGTGCAGCATCATCCTGTCATTTTTTGTAAAATCTAACAAATTAATATGGTGTATCATTTCAGAATTTTACTTGTTACTATTAAAAAGTGCTTCTCACAACCATCATCAATTATAAAGCTATGCATATCTGAGTCCAAGCTAGAAGTCCTCGTTATCAGAAATTATCCATTAGGCTTCTGTTTTCAGTGTTAAATTGATTTAATGAAAACTACTCCTTCATGCTTATCACAGTCTCACAGATACCAGTAAAGGATTTTTCCTAATGAATACTTGGATAAAATAAAAAATAAGACATAAACAAGAAATATGGATTCCATGGCTCAGAAACGTACATTGATCATTTGACGAAAGCCTCCAGAGATCAGATAAACAGCAGTATTTTTAGCCTTCTGCTTTTTGACCAACTCATCTATGCCTGGAGAAATCCTACACATCAGAGAGTAAGAATGGGGAGCCATATCCAAAACTAGACTGAACTAGAGAGCATTGAAAGGGAAAAGTCTAACTCATAAATGGCTTGGCCTTCAACATAAAGAAAAGCAAATATGGATTTCAAAATAACCAACACACCTACGTTAAATAACTGCATAATGCATGCCCTAGTGAGGTGTTTTCTCATGGAAACTTCTCTAGCATTTTACATATCATCTCATATGAGTTCCTTGTGTTCAACTCAGATAAGTCTATTTTCCTTCTCATCAATATTTTAAAAATTACAAAGGATGACCCCAAACCCATTAACGTTAGATTGTCTGGTGTTGTCCCCACAGATTAGACATCATATTTGTGTTTAAAAGCTACATAAAACACTATGGCCTTATTGACTTCTTGTGGTAGACTAGATGCCCATTCAGCAAACAAAAACACAAGACATAATTCAGAATCAAATAGAACCCTTGTACCTTGGGGGATGCTTTTCAAGGAAATCCTGGACTTGGGTAAGGGAAGGGTTAAATAGAGATAATCTTGCCGACAAGGCCTCCTCAAAAGGAACAGAACCACCCATTGCCCTGCAGAGAAGTAAGATTTTTTTGACATCACCCAAATTAAAAATCATTATTGAACAGGAAGGATATCAAACCTTGCTGTCCATTCTGCAACAGCCTTTCCAGCCCCACAGAATTCTGCAAGTTCATCAATCCCCTCATCCAGGCATACTGTACTATCCACATCGAAGCATACTGCATCTGCATTTTGCCACACCTCAAGCACCTCTACAAAGTTAAGAAAACACTCATCAACTGTGGCACTACAAATCCCAAGTATCAAGAACCCAGAATGCAAAAATCCAGTATTCAACAATTAAATCCATTACTCAATCTGTCACACTTTTACTTAATGAGCAATGTTTCAAACCTTTGACAACAGAAAAATAAGAACTTGTCACATTTGATGGGATATTCAACTCAATTCAATCCAAAAACCAACCTAATTTTCAAATTAAACCCTATTCAAGATATGAAACATATTGGCCATATCTAAAATAATAAGAGAATAATTACTTGCATTCTTGAATATAACCTTTGGATGGTAGCGTATTGTCAAGGTGGCCCGCTGCTGAAGCTTCCAGAAGCTGAACTGGAGCAACTACAGAATTCAATCGTTTAGGATATTTCATTGTCCCAAATGGACTTACAAGCACTCTTTTCGCCAGCTGCAAAGTAAATGTTGGAGTAAGAGGAGAATGATGTTGTCTACAATAAGCACAAACTGGGATGATTCGTGCTCTGATCAACCCTTCCATCAAAATTTTCTGTTGTTAACAAATCGAACAAACATTTTTACAATGGTAAGTTTTGTGTCAATCACTTCAAGATTTCAATCTCTGAAATAGCTTGCAACAACGCAAGACTAAAATAAATGCCCAATAATAAATCACATAAGCATCAGTTCATACATAAAGTCCACTCTAAAACTATGAAGCACGTGTATAGATATGGATATGGATACATCAATAAGGTAAAATCTAAAAAAACGTAAGGTACATGTACGGCTGCATACGTGTATAAAAAAATAAAAAGCAACTCCTAATTAGTATACATTAATGTGTGTTTGGGAGGTAAGAGATTGAGAATATTTATTTTAAATTAGTACACGTTTATAAAAAAAAATATTTATTTTAAATTTAAAATAATGCAAAAATTTGTTAAATAGACCAAACCTACAATTCACATTTAATGTCAAAAGTAAAGACTAAGGCCCCGTTTGTTTTCTGCCAATGGACTGTGATGGATGAACATTTAGCTTAGCTCACGTTTGTTTTGTTTGTGGCCCTCCAGATTGACAGTCCGTTCGGATTAGGATAGGCCTTGAGCAAGGGAATTGTTAGTCTGGGTGAACTTACTGAGTAGCCGGTCGTTCGCCGGGACATCCAGCGGGTCAACCAGTCAACACAAAAAAAATTTATTTTTTATTTTTTTTACATGTTGGCCATTTTTTTTTTTGAACATTAATGTTTAATGATTTTATACTTTCTGTTAAGTAAAAATCATAATTTTATTTGTTTTATTATTTTATATAAAAATAATTTAACAATAACCACACTAACAACTATTGTTTCGTCAAAACAGACACAATTTTACTAATCCCCTCACTAACAATTCCGTTACTATCAATCTCCTCCATTCTATCTCTGAAAATAAATGGAGCCAAAAGGTATAAAACCAAAATTAAACATCATTATATTAAATAACTTGTAAACCATAACATATATCACATATGAACACAAGAACCCATTTTCCGAAGCTAGCAGCCAAAAACACAAATACCCAGGAAAACCCAAAAACAAATAAATAATTATAGTAACAAAGAATGTGAATACAACATGAATGTGATTATTCATTCGAAGAACAACATTATCTGAATTTGTTTTTGTTAATAGAAAAACTGAAATTTAACTTGATCAAAACATAATTGAGAATGAATGTTACAGATCTGTCTTCAATTAGACAAATATTGAAGCCCTGAAACAGAAGCAAATCTATAACATTTGGAACAATTTGTGCGATCTAAGAAAAGAAGAAAAGAAGAAAGAGAAATGGAGAGAGAGAATACCTGAAGGTTGGTAGCGCAAAGATAACGATGGCCGATGATGGGAGGTTGTAGAAGTCGTACTGTCACCACTCTCCCCTCTCTCTCTCTCTCTCTCTCCTCTGTGTGTGCGCGCGCGGTGGCGCGAGAAAGGAGTTGATGGAGGAAAGAGAAAAGTCTCTCTACTGTTTATGTTTATGTTTTTAAAAATAAAATATTGAAAATTTGTGAAGTTGCCGACCATTTTTCTCAGGGCACTTGATCCAAACGTGCAAATTAGAATTTTAAAAATGTTTTTGTAGTTCGAAAATTCTTTGCCGACCATTTTTCTTAGGACACTTGATCCAAACGTGCAAATTACAATTTTAAAAATGTTTTGTAATCCAAAAATTCTTTATTTTGAATGGCTCGAATGTTATTTTGATTCTTTTTTTTATTTTTTTCTTTCTTTCCTTTTCATTTTCTTTTTGAAATAGACCAAGAAGAAGAAAAATAGAAGAGGAAGAAGAGAGAATGAGAAAAAAAAAGAGAGGGAACAGATCTATGGGTGTATACATAGAGATTTGTGTATACACAAACAGCAGAGGGTCGTGGAGTCATCGGTAGGTAGAGGGGTTTGCGACGGTGATGGCGGCGCCGGTAGGTGGAGGAAGAGCATAGATCCGTGTATATACACACAGAGGAGGGTCGATGGTGGTGCCAGTAGGTGGAGGGGTTTGCGACGGTAATGGTGGCGCCGGTGGGTGGATGGAGTTCCGGCTCTGTTCCCCCTCTTTCTCTGTTCTCCTCCCTCTTCTCTCTTTCTTCTGTCTTCCTTCATCTTTCTTCTTTGGCCTCTTTGTTTGAGAGAAAAGAGAGGGAATTTTTTTTGACAAAACAACGTCGTTTTGAAATTCGAGCCAGTTGAGCTATAACTATTTGAGCTACCTGAAGGACTGTTATAATTGAAAAATGACTGGTAACTCGAAAAAAGTGGCCCGATTTTTGCTCGAATCGCAAAACGGCGTCGTTTTGCGATTCTTTTTTTTTCTTTCTTTCTTTTTCTTTTTCTTCCTTTTCTTTCTCTTCCTTTTCTTTCTTTCTTTTCTTCTTCTTCTTTGTTGAACACAGGAGAAGAACAGAGGGGAAGAGGAGGAGAAAGGAAGAAAGAAAGAGGAGAGGAGAGAAGGGCCCCTCCTATGCCTCCGCCTCCGCCTCCGCCGATCGTCGCAGCATCTCCGATTGTTGCAGCAGCTCCGATCGTCGCAGCCCTGCGTAGCCCCGCCTCCACCAGCCCGATTTTGATGGCCCCCTTCCCTCCAGTTCTCATTCTTCCTCCTCCTTCTTCTTCTTCTCTTCTTTTTCTTCTCCGAATTTGAGCCAAATTCGAGCCTCCGAAATCGAGCTACGAATCGGAGTCGGTTATAATTTTATTTATTCAAAGGGTCAGGGTTTAAAATAATTTATCTAAAAAGATAAATTTAAATAAAATGATCAAAATATCCTATATATATATATATGATATACACAAATCAAAACATGAAAATCAACTATCTTTTCCTTTCTCTCTCTCTTCTATCTCTCTCCTAGCCTCGCCTTCGCCGCCCATTGCCTCGCCTCATTGTCGCAGTCTACCGTCTTTTATTGCCGTCACTGCCACCAACCCCCTACCACCTTCACTGCCCTCTCATTCTCCATTTTTGAAATCTTCATTCTCATTTTCCCAAGATAAATTACTAACTCTAACTCTCACTCTCATATTGTCATGACCCAAACCCGCCCCCATGGATTAAGGGCATAACCGGCCAGTAATCAAGGGATTACCTACGGCCTCAAACCAAGCTAGACATAACTCATCAGAGTAAATGGGCCAAACGGAAGCAAAATTCAAATGAACTGTCCATAGAGCTGTGCTTACATGGCACCTCATCACAAACCATACATACACATATTAATAACTCACGTCAGAAAATACAGTAACATAAAGTTCTGTACAGACAGGATCATTCCAGTCTAGGTCAACCAATCCAAACTATGTACAAACATAAATTAAAGTCCTCGCCAACATAACAAAATAACACAAGGTAGCATAGGGCGAAGGCGTGTCTCGTACGTGAGACGCAAATGTTGACTCTTCAAAATCTTGGTTGTTCCACACAAGCTTCACTGAGGCTGGGTTTGGACCTCTCTAGGCTCACCTACAAACACATGAATGAGCGTGAGCGAAAGCCCAGTGAATAATATCAAATAAAGAAGATACATTCGAACAATATACATCAAATGACCTTAGACCCAATTCATATTTCTATCTAATACATATATATACTCATATGTAGGTCAAATAACTGCGGTTCCAAACATATCGGACGGCCTCGGGCCCAATCTATTCATGTCAAACTGGCCTTTGGCCCACTTATCTTTCATTCATGTCAAACTGGCCTTTGACCCATTGTCTTTCATTCATGTCAAACTAGCCTTTGGCCCATTCATACTTTTATGTCAAACTGGCATTTGGCCCATTCATTCTATCATTCAAATCATACTGGTCTCTGGCTCATTCATTCTTTCCTGTCAAATTGGCCTTTGGCCCATTCGTTCTATCATTCAGATCATACTGGCCTCTGGCCCATTCATTTATGCATATCAAACTGGCCGCTGGCCCATTGATTTGGCATAGCAAACATTTGTCTACCATTCAGATAAATAGACTTATAAGGCTTACATAGGAGTAAACAATTGGACAAATATCATACTTCAAATATCTTTAATAAGATATTACTCACAATGATCGGCTGGGTGGTTTGCCCTGGAGCTTGACCCTATACATTACATGAACACAACGGGTCACAAACAATTCAATCCGTTCTTAATTCACATATCCCTCTTTAGGCATCATTCTTATTCTTTTAATTCATTCATAATGCCCAATGCATGCCTAAGAGTGCTTGGAAGTGAAAGAGAACGGAAAACAAAACACAAAATGCATTTTCAAAATTTCAGAAATAGGGGTCCCCGCTCGAGCGGACCCAAGAGGTCTGCAAAAGTACTGGTTATGTCATTTTCGCGCTCGAGCGCGAACTCAGACGCTCGAGCGGAAGGTCAACCTACACAGCTCCCCGCTCGAGCGTAAACTTCCCCGCTCGAGCGGACACCATGTCTGCAAAAAGTTCTGGAAGCCCGTATTTTAAGCTCGAGCGGGCGCTCGAGCGGACTTCAAGAATTCTGGGTTTTCCAGAACTTGTTCTTGAGTTCAATTTCGACATTCAAAGGCTCCAAAGCTCGAATTAAGGTACCAAAATGGAGAAACACAATATATAGAATGAGCACACAAACAATATGGAGCCAATTGCTAGAAATCATGGCCCAATCTTCAAAATTAATTAACATTTCTTTTGTATAATTCAAACTCATGTCTTCAAACCTCATACAAGCTCCATATCTTTAATATTCAAACATGCATGCTAATTTTGACTTCATTTCTATTTCAAATTATGCAAATGGTGTTCATTCTCATGGAATTCAACATAAACATGCTTGTATGTATGATTCAACTCACAATCTTTCATAATTCACATACTACATGCTAGATTATGTAATTTCATAGGAATTCTCTACATGCATGCACATATGGACTTCAAATTCATCAAAACCAACTCATTTCATGTTCTAGATCACTATTTAATCTTCAATTCATAAAATCACAACTCAAATTCATGAGTTAAGGGTTGATTACTCACCTAGGAGCTTTAATCTCCCAAACTTATGCTTAATCCTTGAGTTGGCCTTCAATTTATTCTAGCTCAAGACCAAAACTTCAATTGTCTCCATCTCTCTCTTTCTAGCCAACCCTCACTTCCTTTCCTTGGAGCAATTTTTAGTTTTGAGCTCAAAAAGATGAATATAAGCATAATAGTCCTCCTTTTATAGTCCCTCACTAATCACATTGATTAGAGTTAAATAACAAAACTTAATTAATCGTTCTGAATCTAATTATTTTGATCCGAATCAATTTTCAATTAAATTTCACCGTAGGCTCTAAAAATTACGCCAATTATAATGGCGCAGCCAATTTCAGGTTTTATGGCCGATAAGGCCTTCAATTTAAATTCCAAAGCAGATAATCAAATAAATATTCCTACAATGAACAGATAGAAATTCAAAACCACATATTTTCACATAAAATGGTGCACAAAATCATATCAAACACATAATCACATTCATAATAAGGACCAATTAGCGTAATACGGAACAAGGTTATCACATATATTCCCTTCTGCAAACACTCCAATCGATGTCTCTCTCATGGTTCACTCCTATCATCGCCTCTGCTTCGGTACCATACAGGTAGTTTAGATGTCATCCCCACCTCGCATCGCCTCTCTTCTTCATCAATACATTTTCCACTGCGGAGATTTGAATTAAGGGTTAGAGTTGATCCTCAACAAGGTTCCATCGGCATGCCCCAATAACAAGGCAGATCTGGAGCTATCCGATTAGCGACACAGAACTCTTTCTCTTTCTCTCTCCTCCTTATTATCTAATATACAAGTATTTAGCTTTCGAATGTATGTATATGTATGTATATTTATATATGTACGGGGAGCAAATATTTGTCGCTTTTTGTACTCCTCGTGTCCAAGCTTCTCTTCACTTAGAATAACCTGAAAACACAAAGACGATGAGCTACCGAGTGGATAATGGCCAAGATACCCCTCCGAGGGTCAAGGTAACACAGTTTTAGAAAGAGATAAGACAAAAGAGAGAGAGCTTTGATAACCAGAAGATCGCAGTGTGTAAGGGTTCCAGACCTCTGTATGGAGGCGTTGCACCGTTTATATAGTTTCTGCGCACACCTCTCTGTCCACTCTCTTTTCTTCTTCCACGTGTAAGAATAAATACTGCCAAACACCAAATAGTGAAATCGTCTAACGGTATTTACCCGTACGGATGGCGAAATCTCCTTCCTACAATCCAATCATGCCACGTGATACTTCTTACCAAGCTGTGCCTAGCGCGACATCACAATCTTCCCCCAGGACTACGCTACTTGCCCGGCCCTAACAAATAGACCTAAATGTCAGCTCAATTGAGTTGGCAAGTTCATAATGAGCTCCTGCTTGGCTGAACATGGTCCACCATGGACAGATTCCGTCCAACTCTTGGTGAGATTCACATCTCCAAACCGGGCTAGAACCTCAAACTCCCATCCT